TCAAAGGAATGATATGAATCAAAGTATAACAGACCAAAACTATCAGTGCCTTCAGGTATACCACTTTGTATCAGGTTTGGGGAGGTGTAAAATGGACAATGCGGCTTTTAACCAGAAAGTTCATAATTTAAAAAGAATCCACTCCCCAAATTCCTCTCCTCTCCAAAGCAATTATTGGCTTACCCCCTAATCTAACAGTAACCTTGTTTTTGGAGGATTTGTTTTAATCCCCCATAAATTTCAGTCATCAATTCAAATGTTTAACCCAAACCTAGGTGAAATACTGGGTAATCAAATGGTGAATGTCAAGTGGATTCAGCATGGTTATGATGACATAAATGTCTGCCATAAAGCTAAGTGTTTTTTGCCTGTGTTGAAAGGGTCCAGCATAAGCGCCCCATATTAGCAGTGTTGGCATAGTGGTTAGAATGCACTCCTGCCCACTGCCAGGAGTTTGATCCTGACCAGCTCAAGGTTGACTCAGTCTTTCATCCTCCCAAGGTGGATAAAATGAGGAGCCAGATTGTTGGGGGCAATATGATGACTCTGTAAACTGCTTAGAGAGTGTAGTAAAACACTATGATGTGGTATTTAAGTCTAAGTGCTATTGCTATTTGCTTAATAAATTTGTTTTAGATTTGAAAGGGAAGAAAGCACCACCTTAGTTGTGATAGGAGCTGTTTCTGCATGAATAAGAGGGATGGAGAATTGGTGAACAAAGTATTTTCTCCTGAGTTGTTTGCTCTTGTGTTTCTTCTCAGAGGTGTAAGGACCCTGAATCCAGGAAAGAAACTACTAGGGCTCTTACTGAAACCATCCAGGCCAAGCTGGAAGTAGCCCATGCTAAAATAGAGGCTGCAGAAGCTAAGAAAGAAACCTTAGAAGCTCAGAAGATAGCTCAAGAAGCTAAAGAATCAGCAGAAGTAGCTCAGTCTCGGGAGGACAACCTATTGTCCTATGTTTCCAAAGTTGCTAGTTTGGCCTACCAGCAAGCTGCAGAGGCAGAATATGATTGTGCCCAAGCTCGGAAAGCCATGGCAGTAGCAGAGGCCATCCAAGTGGCTGCTTTCACTGATAGCAAAATTCGCCGGAACAACAAGGAGAAGTACCATCGAAGCCATCGGAGTCATGGGGAATGCCGATGTCATCATCACCACCACCACCACCATCATGGCCAACATGAGCGCCATAGTGATTATGAGACCCAAAGTGATCTCATCCACTCTGAACCAGAGACTCTGAGTAGCACCCGATAAAGCAGGAAAAGAAGGAAGCAGGGCTGGGTGGGGTGGCTTGATAGTTAATGTCATTTGAGGAAGCGTGCAGAATTAAAAAAATTTTGTTTGAACCATGGACAACTGATTCATTTCATAGGTATGTTTAGCCTAATGAAGACAAGCTTGAAGGGAGACACGAGAGCAGTCTTCCAATAGTTGAAGGACTGTCACAGGACAGAAGGTGTTGATTTATTATCCAAAGCACCTGAGGACAGAAAAAGAAGCAATGGGTGGAGCTTGTCAGAGGGAGAGCAATCTGGAAATAAGGAGGAATTTCCTGACATTGAGAACAATTAATCAGTGGAATAGCTTGCCTCTCAGAGTTTGTGGGTGCTCCATTGCTGCAGGTTTTCAAGAAAAAATTAACAACCATTTGTCTAGAATACTATAAGGACTCGTGCCTGGCCAGGGGATTGGACTAGAATACCTCCAAGGTCCCTTCCAGCCATGTGAGTTTATGATTTTAGCCTATAGCTGTGATGGCAAACCTATGGCACGCGTGCCACAGGTGGCATACGTAGCCGTATCAGTGGGCACGCCAGCTCAGCTCTAGTGCACATGCATGCACCGGCCAGCTGATTTTCAGGCCTTCTGGGCCCACCAGAAGTAGGGAAACAGGCTGTTTCCTGCCTCCGGAGGGCCTGGGGTGGGCGGGGAAAGCCCATTTTTCTTTCTTACCTGGCTCCAGATCCTCTCTGTGTATCTGCGGAGGGCGAAAACAGCCTTTCCCACTCCCTCGGAGGCCCTCCAGAGGCCTGAAAAGGCCCATTTCCCAACTTCCGATGGGACAGGAAGTGATTTTTTTGCTGTCCCCAGCCTCCAGAGACTCCTAAAAAGGCTCTGGAGGTTGGGGACAGCAAAAAACATCACTCCTGTCCCACCGGAAGTTGGGAAATGGGCCCTTTCAGGCCTCCAAGGGAATGGGAAAGGCTGTTTTCGCCCTTCCCAGATGCATAGAGAAGATCTGGAGCCAGGTAAGAAAGAAAAATGGGCCTACTGGGCCATCACGTGCCAGGAGCGGGGGGGAGGGGGTTGCGTGCTCAGGGCAGGCGCATAGAATTATGGGTGTGGGCATGCACGTGTGTGAACATCTCCCACTCACCCCTTTCCCGGCACGCAATAGCAAAAAGGTTGCAGTAGTGCTTCTATTTTTTAGATTTTATAATGAATTTATAGAGATCAAGAAGTTATGCTCCCTCCCCATGTCTGTATGTAATGGTTTTATAAATATATATGTCTATATTATTTATTTAAATGTATTGGCCACCCAACTGGGATGGATTTCAGTAGCCTACACGGAATGACTCAATTCGTCACCAGCTCACGTTCAAGTTTTTTTTAAAAAAATGTAAATAATTTTTAAAATAATTCAGGATTGAAAGACACTTTTAAGAAAGCTGTTCCAAACTGCTACAGTCTAAAACAAACACTGAGAGACGGTAAAAATCTACAATTCTGTGGTTGTAACACAACACTTCTTTTAAAAAATGCAAAACTCACCCTATGAATCTTTCCAAACTTTTAGCCTCCCTGGGGGACAAAGGTTGCAAAAATGTTTATAAAACCCAAGGCCCTGTTTTGCTCTGCATTTCATAAAAGCATCAGTTGTTTATCTTAACAAAAGGCTACATCTTCCAGCCAAACAGCGCTTAGTCCCCTTCTCTAATCAAGACCAGTTATCTTAAAAAACAAGCTCAATTCTTAGTTTGTGCTTCAGGGGATGGGTTGATGATGTAGTTTGTTTGTGCCAACACCTGCAACAATTGCTTCGGTTAAGCCTCCTGCCTCCAGATCCGAAGGAGCAGAGAATGAACAATTATATCTTGAAACCTTTTTAATTGAGTGAATGTCCAGCAGGTGGGAATGTTCAGGAGGAAAATATTTTGAAAGTGGAACTAGGCCTTACAAGTTCAAATGCTAGCAAACAACTACCAAGAAATGGAGGAGAAGGAACTGCACCAGAGCAATGGTGTCTCTCCTCCTCCTCCTCCTTTTCCTATGCAAACTCAATTTAAATGAGTTAAATGATTTTAATTTGGTTTTAATGGAGTTTTAAAATTGGTTTTGAAATGAGAGTTTTAAATTTGGCCTATGATTTAATTATTTTAATCTGTTTTTAAATTCTATTTTGCACATTTTTATTATGGCTGTTCACTGCCCTGAGTCCTTCGGGAGAAGGGCGGTATATAAATTAAATTAAATAAATAAATAAATTTACTTTCCTTGCACTGGACATCTTGGTGGTTCTATAGAAAGGTTAGGGAAAAACTATAGATAGAAGGATATTATATGGTATCTTCTCTGCATATCACTCCGCTTTAAAGTGTTTACTTAACCTATTGCAAGAAAGAATCAACTTGAGAAAATGAGAAATAATTTGGAGGAAGATCGGAGCTGATGGCCAAATGGAGCACAACTGATGGTTAAGGAAAACCCAAAACTTCCAGGTTATGGAACTCACCGCTGGGAAAAATCTTGAAACCCAGAGCAGATAGCTGACAAAAACAGAGTTTTTTTTAAAGAGTCCAGTATTGGAAAGTTTGAAGCAAATTATGACTAGAAAGAACATAAGCAAACTTTTAAACATTTGAAACATCCTGGAAACATTAGGGGACCTTTGAAGTAAAGCATATCTATTGTCCATTATTTGCTGTAAGGGATTGCTGGAGTTAAAGTGAAAAGTCATGGAGAACTAGAAGTGCAACAGACAAGTATCTCCAGAATTGTATTTTTAAAACAATGTTCTTCCATTTGAAAAGAAATATTTTACTCATTGACTTAAACAGTTTGTTTAATATACTTCTTCCATTCATAATTTTGTATCAAATAGTGATACTAGCCTGAGGCCTAAGTTACCATGATGCTGAGTTTCTATACAAGAGTGTTTTTTAACCTTCATGGCTTGAAGACTGACTTGAACTCCCAAAATTCTCCGCCAGCTAGTCTCCACATCACATCTACACATCTCCAAGCCACCAAGCTGTAGAGTGCACTGTTGGCAGCAGATACAGTTTTCATAGTATTACTAGATCTTAAACAATACAACAGAGAGTTTAAAACGTCTAAGCGTCAACATTTTAAGAAAGGAACAGTAGAATAACTCTCTTAGCTACACATGTCTAAGGTTGACTTTTGCAAATATTTTGCAAGGGTTGAACAGGCTTTTCTGTTCCAAAGTTTCAAATTGTCTATTACCACTTTCTGCTTTATAACCTATTCTGAAAGATTTGGGAGGAAGGGTTGCATGAAAATGTGTCTGAGGAATCAGTGATAAATCGACTCTGAGATTAGTTGAATGCATGTTATTTTTTGTAAAGAAAAAGTGAGTGCTGAAGTGCATGAGAGTTTGTTATTAAATGTGATAGATTGATTCCTATTCTAGGCTCTGTATAATTCTGCAATCTATGGAAAATGACTTCTGGGAGCCCGTTTCCACTGGCCACTGACACTGTTTTGAGCTCATGTATACTGCCACTGTATCGCAAATATCACGCAATTCACGATATATGTTCTATCAGCATGATCTACCATCTCTTTCCCTGACAAAAGAATTGTACATTTCAGCATGTACATAAACCTCAAGGGATCCGTCCCTGACTTTTATAATTACAGTACAGTTTTTACTGTTATGCTAAATACTGCACTGTTTCATATGTAGGCCCCCTCCTATCCTATATAGATTTGTAAAAGGAAGAACTTTTTTTTTTGTGCAACACAGAGAAATACAGAACATCTCAAATATTTTTATTATTCAGAATGCGACAATCATATCAGCTTGCTAAGCAAACAGGTTATTACATCAGTAGCTGCTCAGCTTCTTCCTGTATAGCATATCTTCAGCCACGGAGCTGTCCTGCTGGTTTGATGGCTGCATCACACATAGCTTGCAATAATACGTTCGGCAACCTTTGCTATTCAAATTCTATGTAACGAATGGAAGGCTTAAGTGGCTTGGCTTCCTGTAACTTTGTTGTATACGTTAGGAAAGATGGAGGATATAAGTTGGAAAAGGATGAAATGGCGCCTCCCCCGGTAGCGTTACAGGCTGGATAGAAAAATTACAGTAGTTTCTACTGTAGCTCCTGAGACATACAAAGGCAGAAGTTTAGCTGTTCCTTTTTGATAGCATTGGCAATAAGAAAGCACAGTATCTGCTAGCAACTTCTGAAGTCTCATAATTTCTTCTCCAGTAAGTCCTTTGTTCACTCGTTGGTTGTCAAATTTGTCCTATTACTGCCTCAAGCACTTCACTCCAGCATCTTCAGCATGCCCGCAGTTTGTTTTTCCCCAGCTGGAAAAGCTACATTGGAGAAGACTATCTTCCGTTCCCTTGCAGGCCACATCATCCATCCAAATCCGTCCTTTCCCTGGGAGAAGAATTGAATAGACTCATTAGGCTACAACACAACAGCTAATGAGCTTCCATTTTTCCATCATATTACAATAGCGGTGAGAACATTCACCCTTTGCAACATCTAGATCTGTGTTTCTCAACCTTGGTAAGTTTAAGACATGTGGACTTCAATTCCCCAAATTCTCCAGCCAGCCATCACTTTCTAATCATTCTGTTAGGAGATCAGACATTTTATCCTCTATCTATCTACAGTGTCCATCTATAGTGTTTATCCACAGTATCTATCTGTCTATCTATCTGACTGGGCATTCAAAGTTAGAGCATTCTGGAGTGTTTTATGATTGGGCAGCTACTTTTATATTTAACTTGGATAGTTTGTTTTATTCTGGTTTTAATTGTAAAGCCTTTTGTAAGTTGCCTAGAGTTATACTGAGAGATATAAAAATATTATCCTTTCTTTAATTTGTTATTTCATATATTTTATTCCTTTTAGGAATAATCTGCCAAATTCACATTTTGTTTTTACTAAGATAGGGAAGGATTAGACTAAATTGCCAACCTTGATTATACCCATACGAAATGCAGCATTCTTTGCTAATGATTCAGACAATTGACCCCAGTCATGCTTACACCATTCTATGCAAGCTATGTATCTAATCTAGAGATTTACAAGCTACCATACTTGGGGATACAAGCTGGGTAATGACCTATACACCTATACACAATGCACAAGACGATGCACAAGTCTATAAATAAAATCAATTAGATCAACCAAACAAACCCAATGATAAATTGGGAAGCATTTTTAAGGCTGCCATCATGTAAACAATAACAACCTAATCAACTGTGAGTAGATAGATAGGTACCATTTTGGAGACAATTTAATAGGGACATGAAAGGAGTCCCCAATCAGGCATTCCCTGGGCAATTATAATGTCGCCATTCAATCCTTTCAATGCAGAAGCACTGAGGTATTCCAAGCATGAATGTAGTAGTAGTAGTAGTAGTAGTAGTAGTAGTAGCAGTAGAAGACATATATATATGTCTTCTTAAGTTTTCGCGGGTGTGCATATGCAAAAAATTAAAATCTTTCCCGCGTCATTGTAAATAAGTTGGTTAAAATGTTTAAAATTCTGGCTAAAATCCCAGCTTAAAATCTTCTAAAAATCCTTACATTGCTTCTAAATGAAACAGAGCCTGAAGATGACAGGGTTGTGAGCCTGTCGAAACGTTGCTATAAGAAAAACTTTTAAAGTCACTGGTAGGATTTTAGCTGAGGTTTTAAAGACCTTGCAGAGTGCTCTGTAAGGATTTTTAGAAGATTTTAAACTGGGATTTTAACCAGAATTTTAAATATTTTAACCAACTTATTTACAATGATGCGGGAAAACACCGGAGATTTTAATTTTTTGCATATATATATATATATATATATATGCATTATATATATATTGAAATTCTAAAAATTAAAATGGGTATCTTCAATAACCATTTCTGAAAATGAATAAATGTGAGCTTTTCTGAGATAATTTTAAGCAAAATGCTCCTTTGCTTCACCAATTGGTTTCCAGCAGATCCTTCATGTCCAAGCTGCTCTGGCTTCAGGCCACATGTGGCTTGTGTCATTTTGCGGCATAAATAGGACCAAAGCCAAACCACAGGAGATGTTCAGTGATCTGTTACAGGGATGCTAAAAGTCATCCCTGAATGTCCCTCACAGGTTTTTAGGACAGGACCGTCCCATAGCCTAACAGAAAGATCTTATCCCAGGCCAATGCCAGTCTCTCCAATTCCCTGGAAGACATGAGTCAGGATTCTCCCTTTTCCAGCCTCTGACTCACTAGCTATAAAGGGGATTGTACACACAGTTCAGGGCTCTGTAAAAAAGCTCTCTGGGGAAAGTGGATAACAGGAATTAAATCCCAGCCAGAAAAAGCAGAGTTTGGCTTTGGTGGGTCCAAAGGGAACAAGTTTTCAAGCATCAAAGGAGAGTAGAGCTGGAAAGATTGTATGGAACAACCACAGGAACACCCAGCAAAGTTTGGAACTACAGCTGGACCAGGCATAATTATTTATCCAGCACATATCATGCTAGATTTCAAAGGCTGCCTGATATAACAGATTGCCATTGGTAGAAAAGCCACAATTACTACGGAGAATTAATGGGGTTCTTTGTTTTGAATGATCAGTTGAGGGGATGTTTCGGGACTGTCAAGATACAGCCCAGGGGTGGGTTCAACTTACCTTTACTACCGGTTTGGAAGTAGTATGCACAGATTGCCAATGACAACATCCGGGGTGGTGGGCGGGGCCTCCCGCCGGTTTTACTACCGGTTCTTGCGAACCGGTCCAAACCAGGGGCAACCCACCACTGATACAGCCAGTGTGCTTTCCAATGAGAGATGGGCAGGGTAGGAGATTCAAGAGGAAAGCAAATGAAGAGTTCCTTAATTCCCCCAATCAGGAGGAGTCTGGGAGCAGCTTTTCAAACTAACACATTTTATTCAAAGGCATAAGTTTCATGAACTACAGTTCCCTTCATTAGAAGGAGAACACCTACACTGATACAGAATCTCAGCCAGGACGAGGTGTTGGTTTAACCACTCTATGCATCCAATGAAGTGAAGTACAGCTTATAAAAAAACTTATGCCTGTTAATTAAATGTCTTACGCTGAAAAGCTGCTCCCAGACTCCTCCTGATTTTGGGCAACCATAGAGCAACATGGCTCCCCTCCTTTGATGTCTTTGTTCCCCATGAGTATTGGCTGGAAGCTCCTGCAGGAAACAAGAATCTAGAGAAAACCAATATGCGACTGGAGCTAAGAATTAAGTGCCTAAACCTACAATGCCATGGGAGTATTGGAATGAGCAAGGTAAAAGTTGGTAGAGAATATTAGTCATGGGGGTGATCCTTTATTTCTTTGAAGCCCTGTTAGCTCAGCTTTGAGTAGTTTAATATCTTAGCCTACTCCCTGTTTGTTTCTTTTGCTCAGATGGCTAACTCAGACAAGTAGTTTTATACAACATTAACTTCAACTATCCTTTTAGTAAAATGAAAACCATTTCCTTGATCATTCCTGCTTTGGGTTTATAAGCTGTAACTGCAGATTTTAAAACTCTTTGGACAGTTAACTCTGGGTATGAAGGTAAAAACTGGAGCCATTCCATTAAACTTTATCTCTGGGAAAGAGAGGTTTCCTTCTCTGCCTGTCCAGATTCCAGGCATCTCTTCATCCAAGAACAGACTGTGTGTCAGGTTCCAAAAAAGCAAGAAAGACCTGTTGAGATTCTTCTAAGCAGGCATCTTTACTGTTCCTCATCTACAGACAGACATCTGGCCAAAACTAAAGCAGACTTCTTGCACCATAAAACATATATTCTGGTAACTATTGAGGAGGAGATATCTTCACCCTCTTTCTCTCAAATAAATGATCTAAACTGTATTGTCTCTTTCTCCTCTGGAATGCACTCACATGCTCCTGGGAATCTGAACAACATTCCATCACACTGTGCCACTACAACCTGCTTGGGTGGGACCCTTTTATCTGGAGGAACTTTATTTATTTATTTATTTGTTTGTTTGTTTGTTTGTTTGTTTGTTTGTTTGTTTGTATTTCTATGCCACCCACTCTCCGAGGACTCTGGGCGGCTTACACCAAAGACAGTATACTAAATAGCATATTGCCCCCAACAATCTGGGTCCTCATTTTACCCACCTCGGAAGGATGGAAGGCTGAATCAACCTTGAACCGGTGAGATTTGATCCGCTGATCTGCTGAACTAGCAGTCAGCTGAAGTAGCTGCAGTACTGCACTCTAACCACTGCGCCACCTCAGCTCTGGATAATCCAGCCCCCCCACCCCCAGCACTCAGATAGAGGAGGAGTGAGAGGATTCGTAAGATTGTATGGTATCAGTGAAGAACACTTTGTCTCCCTTGCTCCCTGCTACAGTTACAGATAGCAAAGCTCAACTTGTACAATACTCTCCTTGTTCTGCAAAATAAAAAAACGTTGACTGTTTTGAAATGTACTCTGCAAATTGAGATTTTTGGTAGGTTTAGGATAAAGAATTTTGCCATATAAAGCCTGACTGCTCTGAGAGATACACCTTAAGCTTTACATGGATTCCTTATAGGCATAAAGACATTGGTGTTCTGGTATACCAGTCGATGTTCAAATCAATAGTCTGATATTTTCAACTGGTGTGAGAAAGTAATGTGGCAGCTGCTTTTCACCTATTTCTCTTTGCCTGACATGCCATCGGAAGAGAAATATCCCATGTAAAAAGAGTGAAGCAGTGACATTGTCAGATGTAAATGCCTTATTCCCTAATGTGTAAATAATGTATATTGGGATATCAGGGGTTAACTTATTCTTTGTTTCTTAATGTATTCATAATTCACCACTCCTACTCTTGGCTCCACCCTTTGTATATATAAGGAGCCACCTTCGCCATTTTCCTGGCTTCTATCTGTGAATATTCAGTGAATATAGAATGCCTACTATAATTAAAGAGAAATATATTTGAATCTCTAACTCTAAATATTATTATTGAGTCTGATCCTAAAAATATTGCAACAAATTGGTAGCAGAGGATGGTTAATTGACTCAATAAATAACTAAAAATGTCCAAGAAAGATAGGCCCAACACCAGGGCCTACAGCAAAGAAATAGAAACTGAACAAGAAATAATCAACGAATCCACAAACGTGATTTCGAGAGAATCCAAAGAATACACCACTGAAGAAGAAGAACTAATAAATGAAAATGATGGCCAGGAAGAAATCGAAATAGAAAATAACGAACTCAGGTCAGAGATACTAAAGATTTAAAAAGCCAGAAGAATGATGAAAGCCTCATCGCGAACCTCCAAGAAATGCTGAAGAACAGCGGAGCAGCGAGAGAGAAAAACATCGCTAAAGAGAAACCCAAAGACCAAAAAACTGTGAGTGATGCGACTACAGAGAAAGTCGTTATGAAAAAGAAAAGATGTGATCCCGCGTGAAATTTG